CGACACAGGCAGCGCTGCCGGGGGCTCCGCGCGCGCCCGCCTCCTCGGACGGGGAAGCGCCGTGGGTGCCAGGTATCGACCTTGGAGTTGTCACGGTGCCTGACCTGGAGGAAGAACCCGGTGGCGGCTCCCCACGGCGCCTGGAGTCATCCCGGCCTCCCCGGGGCACGAGGGGTCTCTGCTGCTCAGGGTGCTGGTGCTGGTAGATCAGCAGCAAAACCCTTCCTGGACACACATGGAACCACTGCAGAGGGCTTCCCAGCAGGAAAAAAAGCCAGGGGCAGTGACCCTTGCCTCCTCATGAGTATTTAAGACAGCTCATGACTAAGCGAAGATAAATCCATTTCATAACTCAAGGCCAAAAGTAATCTTTGTGTGTCTCACTGTCTGTTCACTAGTGTTGGAAATGAGCTATCCTGAGGAATCCTTCTGGTTGACCAAATACATTGCTGAATTTAACTTTCTTAGCACTAGGGCTGGGTTTTCCTCTGAGCCATGTGTTCCCGTGCTCGTATCTGCTATCTGCTCCAAAGTCTGTTGCGCAATGTAGTTTTCCTAAAGAAATGTCCACCATTGTGCTTCAGATTTATATTGGTATCTCCTGTTGGTGTATTCTTGTACGTACCCTGTCGCAAAGCAGCACTGTGCCCCTTAAGTAGGCTCTCAGAGGGAAGGGAGAGGAGGAAGGGGAGCCAGGGATGCTCCAGGTCCTGTGATATTATCTAGGTGGAGAAACTGCCAAATGCACCAGGCTTTGCTGCTGTTTCACACAACAGCGTTGCCTGGAAATCCTTTGGGAACTGGAGGTCATGTGGCAATTAGAGGTCTGCACCCTGAAGGAACCTATTAAGAGGTCAAATTAAATTGTCATTTTCTCTTCATATTAATATTTAAGTAACGTGAAGCACACTGTTATGCGCCAGGCACTCATTCTCTGGTGAAAAGCACAGTAGAAAACGCTGTGCATTTTATCAGAGCACAGTGGTTGTCACTGATGGAGTCATGCGGGATCCTTAGCAGGAGGCTCAGTTTCTCTTAGGGGAATGAGAAGGTCAGCACTGTAGAAAGCTGGGAGTGGAGTTCTTTGAAATAAGCGTGAGCTGAACTGTGATCGGACAACTTATTTTAATGGGTTTCCCCTTTATGGCTGTGTTGAGGAAGGGGCTGGATGAAATCCCGTGACGAGGTGCGGAAGGTCCCGGGAGCACCCGCTCCTCCTGCCGCCTCAGCGGGAAGGGTCTGCACAGGGGCGTCCGTTCCCGCGGGCAGCCCTCCCTGGGCTCTAGCACAGCCCTTGCTCTCTGCGTGTTCCTCCCCGGGGACACAGGGGTCTTATGGCTTCTGTGCCAGGTCATTAGAACTTGTTATAGCAGGGGAAAATCCTGCTTTTTTAAACGCCTCCTATCTAGTACTACGACAATGACATTTTTGCCTTTCGTGTTGTGTTCTTGAAGGAAAGGTGGAGGTGTTTTAAGAAAAAAAATCCTCTGAGATTCAGTTTATGTAAACATGACATCACATGTAAAGAAAATAAAAAGGCTCAAGAAGTATTAAACTACTTTCAACATTTCATGTTTAGTTTATTTAAGAATATATTCATTCGTTTCACATTAAAAGATGAAGCTGCATTTGCATGGGAGTACTAGAAGGATATAGATATAATACCAGCATGGTAAGTGTGCAGCAGTCAAGCGTCTAGTTTTTGAGTATTTGAAACCATGGAGTAGCTTGAAGTGAAGCTCTTGTAGGTACTACTGCTTTTATTAAAGCAGTCCGTATCTTCTGTCATGGCCTTAGGAGAACACTGAATGTGAAGGGAGCTTATTACAAACTCTGCCCTGCCGTTTTTTAATCACGACACTTTGGCTTTTACCAGGACATGGTGAGATGCAGAACAAACTGCTGTTACAGCACCCGGTAGTTACGGTTTGCTTGTTACCTGTCAGATCAAAAGCAATCTGAGCAATGTTTGGAAGCAACATTTTCTGTTTGAAACCATGTTAGTAAAACTCAGATTAAAGCCTACCCCTTTCGATAGCCACGGCCCCGAGCCCGTGCGGCTGCCCCGTGTCCCCGGGGCACGCGTGGGGCCCCGCGCTTTGTGCGGAACTAGCCCGTGCGGCTCGCGCCGGCCACGCGGCACCGGCTGTGGAGGGGGCCTGGGGACGGGGAGGTGGAGCAAGGAATCCAACCGGGATGATAATGCCACACGTGGGCTGGAAAAGGAGCTGCGCAGAGCGTCAGAACCAAGCGTCCGCTGCGTCGTTTTAGGGTGCTGGGTTTGTTTCACTGTCTTCTGATTGATTCAGATATACACATGTGAAAGCAATTTTGCAGGAATGTGCAGTGTTTAATCCCTTTTTTCAACGTTGTGTTCCTGTTATCTGTAATTTTCCTTTTATCTTTATATTTTACAGCTGCTTCCAGAACTCACAAATCCAGATGAGCTGCTTTCGTACCTGGATCCTCCTGATTTGCCAAGCAATAGCAATGATGACCTTCTGTCTCTCTTTGAGAACAACTGAAACCATATGTATTCCCCCATGCCTTTCACTTGTTCACACATGTGTGGCTGCACAGCGAGGAATCTTAACACTCCTTTTCCACAAAAGAAGAAGAAAAAAAACCACCTCACAACTCGATCCAATGGTGCACTCCCTGCTTTCTTCATCTCAGAACTGCTTTTGTCAGCTTCACAGACTGTGAAAGTGCTGGGAGGAGGAAGTACGAAACCCGCAGCAACGCCAGCGCCTGCCGCGCGCCCCGTCACAGCGAAGCAGAGACAGTTGTGCAGCTATTGGAAACCCCATTTGTTGTTCATCCTCTAGAGAGAGAGTTCTGTGATAAACATGGTGTGAAGTATCTTGGCAAAAGCAAATCTTGGCAAGGGAAGAAGAGGCAACAAAATGGACCTGTCTTTAATTGGCCAGTCTCAGAATGTCCTTCCAACGCGTGTTCTTCCATTTTTTTGAAACTGTCTCTCCCCACCCCACTTGCCCTGAACCCCCCTCCAGCCACAGGTTTGTGTTGGAGTAGTTGTCCTGGCCACAGGCTGAAAAAGGAAGTCAAAACACATGTAAAACTCCCAAAAGCACAACTCGTACAGTAGAGTGGCAGCAATAGGGAAGGAACACAAGCCCCTCGGAGGGGGACAGCAGCTAGCCGGCCCGTCCCCAGTGCCGGGGCCCTCACCACATGCAGGCTGCAGCCGTGTGTGTTTGTCTTGGTAAAGCGCAGGAATCTTCGACACCTCTTTGCAAAGGATTCCTCTGTTCAAACACACAGATTGCGGAAAAATAAAACAAAAAATACTTGCAGTTTTTAGCCCTTTTTTGTGGGTTTGGTTCCAAATCAGCACCATTTTCAGCTGCATTAACACCCAACTGCTGAGATTGTTGTAATAGATCTTTTGGCTCTCTATTCCATACGAAATGGAGAAGCAAGGGAGGGGGGAATACGAAGCAAAGTACTCCGGATTTCCGCCTCCAGCCTTCGTTCCCTCAGCGCTTGTGTCATTCTGTAGTGCACAATCCTTAGCAAGACGAGCTGGGAAGAAGGCAGGCAGCCGATCATGGCAGGATGGATGGCAGGGAGAGCAACATCCCTATCTGCATAATTATTATTACTAATCAGCTTGAAAAGGGGCACTGGAATTGGACAGACATTTTACAACTTCTTTTTTTCTTGTTTCGCTTTGTGTTCTGTTTTCACGACTGTTACAGATAATTCAGGCTTTTTCTTCCCTTCCCTTTTCTTTTTTTCCTTTTTGCCCGTAGCTGCCAGGATGCGATCCTTCCCTCGAAGGAATGGGCATGGGGAGAATGAGCCGTCGATGGCTGCCGCCCTCACGAGCCCCCGCTGCCACAGGCCCCGTCTTGCCCCCGTGCTCTGTGCTTCTCGTGTGGTTGCTTCTCCTGCATGAGCTTCCGCTTGCTTCTGTGCCCATCTCTGTGCTCCTCGTCTCTCTCTCTCTCTCTTATAACTTGTGTACAGTAGCTGTGTAAGAAGTGCATGTGTGCCAACTCTGCCCTCGTGGTGCAACATTTCAGCTTTTACCCACTGTACAGTTATTGGTTTAGTTTCTTTTTGTTACTAAGGCAATTTTGGCCCTACACCTTTCCCCTTCCACCAGCCGAATGCCCCTTACCCGCTCGCGACAATATGTTTCCAACGTAAGTGCCAGACAAAATTCTGTTTGCTCCTATCAGTTTGACTCAGCAGTTCCTTGGCCCTTTGTGTTCGGTTTGCAGTGCTGTAAATGGCATGCCCCGTGCTTGCGACTCTCCGTTTGCTTTCCTCACCAAAGTCATATTTGTAAATTCTTTGCGGTTTTTGGTTTATTTTGCTTTTTTTGTTAACGTTTCCACCTACTGCTGTACATGCGTCGTGATATATATATGCTAGTCAGCAGCACCTTGCTGTAGATATTAAAGGAAATGGCGGTTTAGTTCTTTTATTTCCAGTAGGAGTGTTGAACCTGTCAAACATATTATGTAGAGATGGTCCCACACTTATATTTTTCCTGTTTCAAGTTTTTTTAAGAAAGGCGCTGTTCATTATGCAAAATCAATTATTTTAAGAATTGCTATTGTAAATATCTCTGTGAATATTTTAGTATCGTCTTTGATAATATTCAACATTTTCATGATCTGGTTATACTTTTGCTGGTGTTTTTAAATACCTTGTCTGAAGAAAAATATGGGTCCTTTTTTAAAAAAGAAAATTTGAGGGTTCTTTAACAGAATAAGGGAGTTTTTGCCTTTTTTTTTTCCCCCCCCACCCCCTTTTTCTATGGATAAATTAGCCCAAATTTCGTTCCCGTTTCCATGGCGAATGGATGTACCTGCGCAGGCGGGGCCCGGCGCTGTCCCGCTCACGTTGTAACAGCAGGCGCTGACCGCGCGCCAAGGCCAGCGGCAGGCGCTGAGGCACCGCGTCCGCATCGCGGTCCCGGTGCTCCCGGCGTCCGCATCGCGGTCCCGGTGCTCCCGCGTCCGCATCGCGGTCCCGGTGCTCCCGGCGTCCGCATCGCGGTCCCGGTGCTCCCGGCGTCCCCATCGCAGTCCCGATGCTCCCGGTTCGGGGCTGTGGGAATGGGCGCGGGAGGCGGCCGAGAGGGTTTTATTCTGCCTAGAGGTGTCTTTTTTCTTGCGTAGGCTTGACAAGCTGCGGAGGATCCCCGCAGAGAATTAAAGACACCTTGCTCTAATACCTGGCAATACAGTTGCGGTGTGGTTCTGCTGTCACACGAGCGCTAGGAAAGACCATTCTTCAGTTACAGATGTGTTTTTGTAGCAATTTTACTGTAGTAGTTTTCCCTTGTGTTTTTGCTGCGTCGTTTGTAAAGGTATTGGAGTCATTTGCAGGGGTGGCTAATGATAAACCGACTTTATGCCCTTAGAGTTTGGCTTTGGATTTTGTTTTGTTTTGTTTGGGAAGGGGGAGTTTCTTAAGCCATAGATTGTGGAATAAAGTTTTCTCACAATTAGTTGGAACTGGCTGTTCAGATTTTTATTTTTTTTGACTGAGTCTATTTAATGTTCCACCCTCCACTGTTCCCCGAGCAGCTAATTGAAACACCTGAAATGATTTTTCTCTTAAATAAAACATGAGCATTTTAAACCAGGTATGTTAAGGACTGACCACTTGCTAACTGGTAGTGCTTAAAATGTATCATTTAAAAATATCTGTTGGCAAGCATAAAGGGAAAAAATAAAACAAACATAGATATTAGCAATATGTTGGGGGCAGTGTTTGTATCTGCTTCACACAATAATTGAGAAGTTTAAGTGGATGGTTGGAGTTTTTAAGTTTATAGAAATTTTTGGTTTCTAAGCAGAAGTTAGAGATAAAATAGAATTTTTACCCATCACCCAAATGTTGGACATTGAGACAGTTTTAAAACTGTCACCTAAAACCAGGTACTGTATAGTGGATTCAGTATGAAAAAAAACTTCTAAATCAAAATTTAGGGTTTGTCTGTTTATCTTTTCACTGCCATATTAAAGTTTAGAGAAAAAAAACTAGCAAATAGGGTAATCACGGTCATTTTCTTTTAAAGCCTAAATACTATATGAAATTCCAGTAGTATTTTTATTCTTCTTTTTGTTTGTTTACTTTTTAATTGTTTCCCTATGGAAGCTCATCTGGGAAAGAACCCACAGAGATCTACAGTTCTGCTGCCAAGACATTATTATAGGACTGACAGATAGACGCCAATGTCGGCAGTGGAGACTCAAGGGACATCTGTACATATGTAAATGACAAATAGAGACATGTTAACAGAAACGCATTCATTTTCCTTGGAATGTGCATTGTTTTTATTTCGCAGGAAAAAAAAAAGCTTGAAGCTCCATCTTATGTGGAAAATGAATCCTGTTTGTTAGCGTTTGTGAAGTCTCAGCATCTGTTTCACTTTCACTTCTGTAATATACTCTGATCCTTTGTTTTGTTTTGTTTTATCTACATGTAATATTTAGCTTACGTGTACTAGTCTATCACCTGTGTATTTTTAGGGTGCTACAGAAATAATGAAGAAAAATAAGGGGATTAAAAAAAAATTGTAACCAAATTCATACTTTGTACAATTTTTGATATCATGATCAGAGGAGAATTAAAAAAAAAGTACAATCTGAAGTAACATGCAAAAATGGCCATTGTCTTTGTTTGTACATTGTATGTACAGTACAATGCAATCATTTCATACTTTAAACTGGTCAGAAAAATAATTGTGATTTTTAGTCTTGCAAAACTGTATGTAGTTAGATGATGTGACAACCTAATATTTATCTAATAAATATGTATTCAGATGAAACCTGTATATTAGGTGTTCATGTGGTTATTTTGTATTTAAAGATCAAATTATTTGACTATTGCTAGACATTTATATACTCTGTTGTAACACTGAAGTATTCTCATTTGCTCATGTTATTTTTTTTTTTCCTAAATAAATTTGCAAAATTAAGGTCTGGCTAACTGGCAGGTGCTTTGTAAATTTTCAGTCTCCTTTTGAAACAGCCAAGTTCCCCCTTCTGCTTCCTGCTTTGCACGGTAGCTTGCAGGTTACTCGCGTAGGGAGCTACGCTCGCTGCCGGAACAGGAGGATGGTATGAACAGGGATGGAAAAGGTGCAGGGTAGGAGAATACAGCTTTATTGGCCGGCACAGGAACCCATGAAAAGGTCCCTGAGGGTTTATCAGCAGGTTTAGTGCCTCTCCCGGGGCAAGGGGGCAGGTCGGGCCGCGAGCCGTCGCCGTAGCCGCTCGGGCACGTCGTTCCCTGGCGCCTCGGCGAGCTCCGTCCCTGCCGTGCGCTGCGCTCGCGGGTGCCGGTCACTCGGCCTCGAAGCGCTAGCGTGTTCAGAGACGGGCGTTAGGCTCTGTAGGAACAACCGCTGTTTCAGTATTAGAGCATCCAATATGGTTACAATTTGCACACAGTAGTGACGCCGCAGCGCACAAATCCTTCCAGCTTTTCCAGTTGTGCTTGGTGGTGCGTACAGAGAAAGCTGGACGAGAGATCTCTCAACATTTGTTCCTGACTCTCAATTTTTGCTGCCTTTGCTTCCCATTAAGGTAAGGTAAGATAGAGGAGTTACAGGGTCCTCAGTAGTGAAACAGAAAACACTCTCTATCCTTTCCAGTCACTAATTAATGAGACCTTTATTCTTGGTGTTCTGTTTGTTTCCCTGGAAGCTCCCAGCCAGGCTCGGTGGGACA